ATGGACGACCACAGTTTGAGTACCAGAACTATGGCTTGCTTGCCTCCTTTTTGTTGTTGTTGTTGTTTGGAGAGATTTTTGCTATAGGGCGCACGCGCTCGCCAGAAAGACAGAGAGAGACAGAAAGTGAGAAATCACCCCCTGGGGGGATGGCCATGCCACAATCCCTTCTCCTCTGGGGATCTTGGGCACGCACGCACACGCGCCCAGCGTGAGTTTAAGCCACTGGGTCTGGGACCTGAACCACAGTTGACTACATGAGAGTCCAGCGACATAGCCATTATGCCAACTGCTGGTCCCATGGTTTGCTTTCTTGCTCCTCTCCCCACTCCACTTTGTCCTTCTCTGGTCAAATTAAAAATAAATAAATAAAATAAATAAAATAAAGTTAAATTTTTAAAAATATAAAAAAAAAGTCTGTGACATAATGGTTACATCGTTGGACTCCCACATAGTCAGCTGTGGTTCAAGTCCCAGAATGGCAGGTTAAAACTAACGCTGGGGGAACCAGCAGTGATTTCTCACTTTCTGTCTCTCTGTCTCTCTCTGTCTTTCTGGCAAGCACACGTGCCCTATAGTGAAAAACCTCTTAAAAAAAAAAAAAAGAAAAAACTTCACACTGGGTGCATGTGTTTGTGGGTGCCCAAAATTCTGAGAGGAGAATGAAGGAGAAGGGATTGCAGAGTGGCCATCTCTTCTCGGGGGGTGATTTCTCGCTTTCTGTCTGTCTCTTCCACTAGCACATGTACTCTATACCAAAACCAATTCTTCTTAAATTAGAAAAAAAAAAAGAGTCTGTTAACTTGGGGTTGGCAGGTGGTGTAGTAGTGATTAAGATACTGATATCCCACATAATCAACCACAATTCCAGTCCCAGACCTGGCGGCTTGCTTTCTCACTTTCCCTTTCTCGCTCTCTCTCTCTGGTCAAATTAAAAAGCAAATAATAATAACATTACATAATACTAAACCATGATAGTGTGCAGTATATTATCACATATAAAAAAAAAAAAAAGTCTTTTAACTCAAGTGATAGCCAGGATGTCTAAAAAAACCAGGCTCAGGAAAAACTGCAGGAACCAAAGAGGCTAGAAATTCAGAACTGCCATCTCAAAACTAATCTGATGAGGCCATCACTGCCAACCACCAAATACTAGATTGGCACCACTGCCATTGCTGCCTCTGGAAACTGGCTGACTGTTGCCGTCATTGCTGCTGCTGTTGCCAGAGAGAATTCTATACTTTCTCTGCCTCTTGATTTTCCTAATGCTAGATTCCATATTAGTGAGTGTATCTAACTAGCCAAACCCAGGTCATATATTTTTGCTCTAGATTTATGAGGAATTTTCTTTGTCTGTAATAGAGACAAGCTTTGCTTCCCAATAAGACTCGAATGGGATTTTCACAAAAGTGGGAAGGGGCTTCATTTATTGAGCAGCTGAAGTAAAGGCAAAAGTCCCCTATACAAACTCAGGTGGGTGGGGCCGGCAGGTGGTGTGGTGGTTAAGGACGTTGGACTCCCACATGGCCAACCACGGTTTGAGTCCTGGACTTGGTTGCTTGCTTGCTTTCTCACTTTCACTCTCTCTCTCTCTCACACACACTCTGTTCCTCTGTGGTCAAATTAAAATAAATAAGTAAAGCTAAATTGCGAACTGGCAGGTGGTGCAGTAGTTAAGGTGCTGGACACTCCCATATGACCGATCATGGTTTGAGTCCCAGAACTGGTGGCTTGCTTTCTCACTTTCACTCTCTCTCTCTCTCACACACACTCTGTTCCTCTGTGGTCAAATTAAAATAAATGAATGAATAAATAAAATTAAATAAAATATTTTAAAAGCAAAATTAAAGTGGGGCCAGGCAGGTAGCATGGTGGTTAAGGTGGCTGATTCCCAGACCCAGCGGCCTGAAAAACACACTGGATACATGTGCATGCCCAAAAGTCCTAAGAGGAGAGTGAAGGACAAAGGATTGCAGCGTGGTCAGCCCCTCTGAGGGGTGCTTTCTTATTTTCTCTCTCCCTCTCTGGTGAACACATGTACCTTTATAGCAAATTTAAAAAAGAAAACTAAAGTGTTACTTGATATTTTTGAACCACTATATCCCACTGTTGACTCATTAATAACAAGCCATCAAAATCACCTTTCTTTTTTCTTTCACATGTACTACTCTTAGGCTAATTTGCCAATGTAATTGATACTTCTAGAGACATTCGTGAAATCTTTAACCTCATTTTCTGAAAACTTACACACAGACATACAGACACACAAAGACACACATAAATAGATTGTTGACGCTACATGTTTAGGTATGATGCTGGACATAGTTTGGACAATCAGATTCTGAGCCATTCAGTTCTCAGTATTTGAATTAAATGCTCTAAGTGGGGCTTGCAGGTGGTATAGTGGTTAAGGCACTGGACTCCCACATGGCCGACTGTGGTTAGAGTCCTAGACCTGGCAGCTTGCTCTCTTACTTTCCCCCTCTCTTTCTCTCTCTCTCTCTGGTGAACACATGTGCCCCATAGCAAAGTTTTTAAAATGATAATAATAAACAAAATTAAATAAATAACTCTTTAAAACAAGATGATATAAGGTAGAGAAGAAATTACCACATTTAGGCTCTGTATACAATACCCAAAGAAATCTGGCATTCAGAGAGAGAAGAATGAGAGTGTAAAAGAAGTACTTATCCCCAATGGCTTTGTATTAATTCTTTCATTTATTCATTCTAAAATCTTTATTGAACCTCTGTTATCTGCCAGGTACTTTTTGGTGTGTTGGGAATACATACATTAGTGAATAAATCAAACAGAATTATCTCCCTTAAGGACCGTATATCTAGTGGGGGGGTATGGAGACCTCTATAAGACAAAATAAGTAAATGTATAGAGATTTTCATATGGTGAATAGTAAATACAATGGAGAAAAATAAACTAGGGAAGGAAGATTACAACTCCAAGGGCTGAGAGTTTAATTTGAGGTATAGTGGATATGCCAGACAGAGGAGCAGCAGTAATGCATCTGGACCTACATGGGAGGGTTCATAGTTCATGTCCCAAGACTTCCCAGTGAACACAAGGCATGTGTGTGCCTCTAATTCAGGCTGGCTGAGGTTGGAATTGGACCATTGTATAAGGAACTGTTAAGAGAGCCTCTCTCTCTCTGTCTCTCTCACTCATGGAAAAAAGGTATATGTGAGTCGTGTGTGTGTGTGTATGAATGACATGATTTTGAAATTTATAGAAAAGATAATATTCAAGCAAAAAACCTCAAAAACTATATCCTGGAAGGCTAGCATAGCAGGTTACACGGTTTTTAAGGCACTGGACTCCCACAGGTAAACAGTGATTCACGTTCCAGACCCAGTAGCTTGCAAATCACAGTGGGCGAGTGTGCATGCAAAATCTCAAGAGGAGACTGGAGAAGGGATTGTGGTGTTTCCATCCCATTTCAGGGGTAATTTCTCACTTTCTCTCTCACCATGTCTCTCTCTGCCTCTCTCTGCCCCTCTCCAGTGAGTGCTCATGCCCTATGGCAGAAATCTAAAAAAAATGTATACCATGCAAATATTTGGAGGAAAAGCATACCAGGCAGATGGAATAGAAAGTGGGACCAGCAGTTAGCATAATGGCTATGACGCTGGACTCCCATGTAGTCGACACTGGTTCGAGTCCCAGACCCAGTGGCTTAAAACTCTTGCCAGGCACATGTGCATGTGTGCCCAAGATTCTGAGAGGAGAATGGAGGAGAAGGGATTGCTGAGTGGCTATCCCCCCGGGGGGGGGTGATTTCCCGCTTTCTTTCTGTCTCTCTCTGTCTTTCTGGTGAGCACATGTGCCTTACAGCAAAAAAACTCTAAAAAAAAATTAAATATTTCTAAAAAAATTATTATTTCATTACATACCATAAAGAAGTAATAGAAATAAAGTAAATAATAAGTGTAATGCATCCAAATCATCCTGAAACCATCCCCACCCCACTTATCTGTGGAAAAATTGTCTTCCAGGGGATCAGCAGTTAGCGTAATGGCTATGTCGCTGGACTCCCACGTAGTCGACTGCGGTTTGCATCCCGGACCCAGTGGCTTAAAACTCACACCGGTCGCGTGTGCGTGCGTGCCCAAGATCCCGAGAGGAGAATGGAGGAGAAGGGATTGCGGCGTGGCCATCCCCCCTGGGGGGTGATTTCTCACTTTCTGTTTCTATGTCTCTTTCTGTCTGTCTGGCGAGCGCACGCGCCCTACAGTGAAAATCTCTCCAAAAAAAAAAGAAAAATTGTCTTCCATTAAACTGATTCCTGGTACCAAAAAGGTTGAGGACTGTTATTTACATTGTAAAATCTCTTCACACATTTATGTTGTGACTTCTCTAATAGCTTGAACACAAGTTTAGCTTTCAAAATTTATTAATTTAATTTTTATTTCCTCTGAAGTGCCAGTAAATTCACTGCTCAGTATTTGGACGATAACAGGAGCAATTGTATTTTTTTTTAAGAAATGTAATGGGCACCATCTTTGAAGAGATCATCAAAAAACATGTGGCATTGCAAGACTTGTGGAGGAACCTGCTAGATTTATGGTAGCTCCTCACGTTTGAGAGAAGCAGAGAACTGGTCAGTCAAGTCAAGAATACGAGGTTTAATTCACAAAGAATACCAATAGTAAAGAGGAGAAAAGGGTTCTTCTAAGGGCTTTGAAAGGCAAGCGTCAAAAGGCCATAGAAAAAAAATTGAAGCTGACTGGAGAGAGGCTGCACTTAAGAGAACATTTTCCTCAGAAAAGGGGCGGGGCGATGGGCAGTCGTTTCGTTGTTCCCCCCCCTCCTTCCTGGTGAGTCAAGTTTCTGATTGGACACCTTGTGAGTAGTGTATGCCAAGCTCCGCCCTCTGGACGTTAGCAACAGTGAAGGGGAAGATTGTGATTGGATGGTGAGGTTAGCCAAGCTCCTCCCCAGGTATTAGAGGGCGCTTCTTCCCGCACTAGCTCAGAGAGTGGTGCGGTCACACTGAGGAGATGTCCTCCCTGTCGAAGCTATCACTTTCTGGAAAGGTGCTGACAGACTTTCAGAATGGGGGAAAACTGACCTTTCTTGACATGTCTCTAGGTATGTAGATCCCGAATCCCAGCCCCAACTAGTCTGGGCTCCCCTTGAGCGGAAGACCTCGGCTTATGGCAGGCTAGATGTGGTGCTATGAGGAACACACCCCTTGGGGAGTTTCTCCGCACCTGGGAGCTTCCCTCTCAGCAGCCACCCACAGTGGGAAGCTCAGGGTCCTCCTCTTCCCTCTTCCCTACTCCCAGGTCTCCGACCTTCTCCTCTCAGATGAGGAACTCCTCTCATGAGAAATTGCTCTCAGATGAGAAACTCCTCTCGTGAGAAACTCCTCTCAGACGAGAAACTCCAAAACTGACGGAAATAGTGTGACTGAAAGAGGCACGTGGGGAAATGAAAGAGACTTTCGATATATACTTTATTCTCTTGAGAAGTGATACCTATTCCTCTCCCCTCCCCCCTTTAAATGCACTAGGCGTGCTCTTCCAGGTTGCTCCGCACGGTTGGCAGCAAGGGGGCTTCGCGGATGTCCAGGGTCACATCAGAAATGACTAGATTCCCGCGCGCACCAGGAGCAAGGTTTAGGCTAGTTTGCTAGTGACAGTACGCGGGAAGACTGGTGTTTGGTTTATTTGCATGATGGTTGATAGTTATTGTCTTTGAACCTCCTTTCACCTCAGCTGGCTCGCCCTGGTTTCTTACCTCAGCTCTTACCTCATATTCTAAGAGTGGAGCTGTAAGGCCAGCAGGTGGCGGGGTAGTTAAGGCGCTGGATTTCCACGTGGTCCACCACAGCTCCAGTCCCAGATGGGTCAGATCGGTGACTTGAAAGTCAAATTAAATAAATAGATAACTAAATAAATAAATGTTATTTTTTAAAGAATTATTTTAACTTTATTTTATTTTTATTATTTATTTTAATTTTATTTTTATTGTTTAGTTATTTTAATTTTATTTTTATTGTTTAGTTATTTTATTTTTACTGTTTAGTTATTTCAATTTTATTTTTACTGTTTAGTTATTTCAATTTTATTTTTACTGTTCAGTTATTTCAATTTTCTTT